TGCCGTTCAGGCATGAATCAAACGATGTGTGAAACTTCTACGTATGGAAATTTTGACATTACATATGTAAAAAACATTTCGTCTGTTAGAGTCATTACAAAAAAATTTTCTATGCGGTGATACTGTATTTTTTGTATTTATGCTTCCACCTTCTATTCTACCATGGCGTCTGAAATATTAATTATAAAGGTGCAGGTACATAAAAAGCTTGAAGTAATGGCTAGGCATATTGACGTCAAATTATAAAGGAAAACGACGGCAGGATTTTAGTGCGGCTCTGTAATCCCTTTATGAAATGTCAAAAAATATGCCTAGATATGGCTTCGAGCTTCTTATGTACTTACACCCTAACCTTTTCTCTATCGGGACTACAACGTATATTAAATTATGAAAAAATTAAAATATAAATTACTTTTAGTTGAAAACAATTGAAGTTTAAAACTTAAAACCTATAGTTATTGAAAAACAAATATATAGTTGTGGTTTTAAATGATAAGCACACACATAATTTTCTATATCCGAGATCTGTTGAATGGATCGCGGGCATATTTTAACTATGTGTAATAGTGTGTGTGTAACTTCCATCAAAATTTATAAAACATCAAATTATTAAAAATTAGCCTTCAAACTATTAAGCTCGTCTTAATATAAATGGCTTTAACACATTTATAATACGTCAGGTGAATCCTCACTGTCAATTTCATTGCGTTTATATCAAACAATACACCAAATGTCAGAATTGACATAGAGACAATGAAATTAACAGTTGAAATCCACTGGATTTTTTATATGTAAACATGCTGTTACTCTATGCAAGCAATTCATTGTCATCGTTAAGTGTGGTACACACTATCAAACAGTGACGCCATATGATCATTCTCCGGTTTTAACATGCATTGAATTACACGTTTTTAATAATAATTTTTGTATAGAACGACATTTTCTATACAAGCCTCTTTTCTAGACCACAACTATATATCGTAGAAATTGAATGCTTGGTATCTATAATTTATTTTGCTTTTTTTTTTCTTATTTACTTTTCTATAACCATTTACGGCGGGGATATATTTCACTCAAAATGCATCTACTTACGTTTATTATTTTCTTATGGAAAACGTAGAGAATTATTTATTTTATTTCATTTTTTTTTTGGTTCATTACAAAAATGTTGGAGTTTCTTAAAATCAAATTAAAAAAGAAAAAAAAGAAAATTTTATTAAACTATGTTTTTTTTGTGTAATTTCAAACGTTCAGCAAACAAAATCAGTCGTTACTCAGTTATGGTTTTTTGCTATTATTAATTATTCTTCTTTAACATTAATATTATATTTCTTGTCTATGAGTTATTCATTAAATTTTACGTATTATTTACAATGACAATGTTATCATGAAATGAGATATTTAAAAAACAATATTTAGTTGCTATTATGAACATAATCTTAGGTTAATAAATGCATGTAAAAATCAGTCAATAATAATTATAAAATAAATGCTTGGTAATTTAAATGCCTGTTGAACTCAGTGATGTAAAAAAGAAAATCACTACCGATTGACGGTAAATCGTTTGTGAAAATTCTTGTCGAAATAATTTATTAGATGGGTGTGCTTTATGCACGGCTTAAAAGGTCAAAACAGATCAAAGCTTCAACTGTGACTTGGACTTGAAAATACAACACTGTTACCATTTTTGGCAGCACGAAACGTGGAAATGCAACCCTGTTGTCACTGGCAGCTTTTGTATTAACGATTTATGCTTTTATCTGTCTTAGGCTAAATAATTGTTGAGCAAAGAGATTATCACATTTGTTATGTGCTAATGACAAAAACAGAATCAAGACCTGTTGCTTCACCTGCTTTATCAAATTTCAAGTTATAAATGTGCACCTGTCAATTTTACAATTTTAAATTCAACAAAGAAACAATGTCTCATTCTGTTTAAGATCAGTGATACGTTTTTAAAAACGTTTCAACATTTGAAGTAGTGTACACACGACCGATCATGTCTCTCATTTAATAAACTTACCAAACTTAAAGATCATATTCGAAAATAAAAGATTTTTGTAAAATCATCAGTAATTTAATCACAGGACAGAATTGTTTCGTTGACCATTGTAATAATGCATACGCTGTCAAAGAAACAAGAACCACACTTATACAGTAGAAGTGTTGCCAACCACAGCAAAAACAATGTCAGGCGGTTGTTGAAAGAGAGCATCAACATGGTGTGGCAAATGAGGCGCAAAGCGCATCCACAAACACATTAGTCGAGGATTCAACGAGAACAAGTCGTTTAGTAACATGACGCTGGTAGATATGAATAAACTTTAAAGTGAAACAAGAAATATCCAACGAAAATATCTCCTATAGTGTTCTTAATCAATGTATGATTTAATGTGAACCCTACCCTATTAGCCATTAGTTGATAAGATATCATTTTGTGTGAACTTAATACCGATCATCATTATTAGATCAGCTGATTAAACATCTGTTGTTAGCTTTATTTTTAAAGAACAGATTAAATAGATTAAATAAACAAAATCTGGTTTAAGTACCGTTATGTTTAGGACGATGATCATGACAAGTGCACTGACCAAAGTTTGGCAGACCAAAATCATTTTTCACATTTTTCACATTTTTCAATATCAAATTTGACTTAGAATCCACAAACAAATCGTTTAACCTCCAACTTTCTGGCACTCCAAGTCCTCACGTTGGCATAGTAACCGTTATGTATACGGTGATGGTCGATTCTGTGTCAGGTCTATCCTGTGTATTGTATGATATATGGATTGCGAAAGATTTCTGATTTCTACCTCCAGCAGTTGGGCTACAGACAAAGGAAACTTATTGATCTCTTATAAAGCGATAACCCGACCGATGTGGTGGAAAATATGTGAGTTTCGGTCTAACACTGTTAATCAACAGTTTGGAATATTTTACAGTGGGTTACCGGAAAATATAAATTTCTAAACGAAGTTAGGGATATCAAAAATTACAAAATTGATTGGAGGAAGGTTGACGTTTGGACATAAAAATACAGAGATTAGACTGAGTCTTTTATTGGAACTTTCACTGGAGATACATATATGTATCTACTACCTTGGCTCAATTACTGGGATAGATCCCAAAAGAGCGTACGTAATAAAATAAAATATGAACAAACTTCAGATATGAAGATCCAACTCTCAAATTCATGGAGAGACACTATAGGTCATTGTTACACCTATTTATTGAACACGGAAATTGTTATTATTTTGATATTTATCCTTTAATGACAAATATATTCATCTACTACCCTTACGTCCTTACTCCTAGAACGTTCTTGAGCAAAATACAAATTCGGGGTTCTTTTTTTCACATCGTAGAATTAAGAATGTATCCTCATTTCAAATAAGCACATCCATCTCTGTATTTTCTGTCATGGTGGAAGAATACAATTAGGTGCATCAACGCTTGGGAACATTGATATGTCAGCAATTTTAAATGTCTTTTCAAATATAAGTAGATTTTTATATGGTTTCTTATATGGCGTCATTCGGAGGTTATTATAATATGCGTTTTTCAAAAATTTTGCAAATTTAAATAATTTTTCATTCAACATTTTCAATTCCAAAATTGGTTTGACAGTTCATTGTCCCGGCAGCTGTGTCGATGCGTCTACCTATATATTTTTCTACCATGATTTTCTGTAATGAATAAATTTGAAAAATACAACCCTGAATCTAAAGTTTTGTCACTTCACATTTACAAATAAAAATGCAATAAGTAGTTATTGTAATTTTGATAGAAAATCACGAAAAACGATTGGATTTGGATTTTTCACAACACTTTTACCTTCTTAATTCTACTAGGACATATTTTGACAATTTGAAGAAAATCATCTGGTCATGGTAATCGAATAGATAGCTTTGGGTTTGTGTCACATTTTGACCGAAAGAGGTTTTAACAACAGGGTGGCAAGGATACCAACGCTGAGCGTAAAATAGTTTTAAATTTAAAGCGTTAATGCAAAGCTTCATATTTGTTCCTATAAATTTTAATAGTAAAATTTGTAAAAGAGAAATTCACTCTGAAAGAGAAACTTTTATTAGAATGGACAGAAACGGAAATGTGTCCAAACTATATGGCGCTGATTCTGTCTTGGGCTTAAGACATGACACAATTATCAAGGTAGTCTCATGAAATCACATGATTCAATTTTGTTTTATTTGATATATATAAACATATATTGTCAAATTTAAATTTCTTAGTTCTTCCTTAAATATGAGAACATAAAAACTAAAGATGAGAGTACATAAAGGGCTTTTTTTAATGGCTTAAGTCATCGGCTGGCTTCTTCGTAGAGAACAAAGGAGTTTTAGGTTGACTTAGTTCGATTTAGGCCCTACACTCTTTTGTTCTTTTCCGAAGAAACCAGCTGATGACTTAAGGCTGGAAATATATAAAGCGCATATTTGGCTGGCTTAAGTCATCGGCTGGATTCTTCGTAAATGAACAAAGGAGTTTTAGGTTGACCTAGTTCGATTTTGGCCCTAGGCTCCTTTGTTCATTTCCGAAGAAGCCAGCCGATGACTTAAGCCAGCCAAATAAGCGCTTTATGTATTCCCAGCTTAAGGCATCCAAAAAAGCCTTTTATGTATTCTCACCTTAACATTTTATCCTCATAAGTCATGCAAGGCTTGATTATGCAATGTTTGACTTTGGTTTTAGGGTATCATTTTTCGACATGGTTTGTTTTGCTTTGATACTTGTAGAAGGTAGTCATCCCGAATTATCAGCCGAATTTACCATAATTTCATTGCAGAAAATTGTCATTGTGAAATTCCTCTTCCTAAGATATAGAACATAACTTTTATGAAAAAATATAACTACTTTTGTAAAATATGCCACCCGTCGTACGTAAATATTTCAGATATGAAAATAAATTCTATTTGAAAAGTGACAAGTTCGAGTATTTCAGAAAAGGGTTGCCATATTAGATTTAGCAAATGTGTCTACCTCCATAATTTTGTCATGCCTTAAATATGTATTTATATCTCTGCCGATTGTTGATTCCTAATCGAATTCGCTGACATTGCATTTGTCGCTCCCTCAATTAAACGTTCTCTATTCCTTTCCACACTATCTTCCAAGCGACGATAATACTTACGTGGTTCCACAGTACTATACAAATCACTGTGCGGTAATAACTCAGCGGAAGATTTTGATTTTCTAGAAAATAAAAGAACCTGCCTTAGGGCTTCACTGGTTTTCAGCGGATGTTTGGCCGATTGTGTTTGTTGTTGGTGTTGTGTAGGCATTGGAGGGGTAGGAGCTTTACCTTTGTTCGATTTGTGTACCTTCAGATGACGAACAAACGATTGTGAAAGTGTGGAACCTCTTAGAAAATCTTGATCTTGATTTTCAGGACTTTCTTGTCCTTCTACTTCACGATTTAAATGCAAATGGGGTGGGAATTTTTGAAGGAATTTAGAGGAGTTCGTGGGCATGTTATCTATTTTAAGCAAATTATCAGAAGAGGTTTTGTTTAAATGCTTAAATGGCGTGGAATATTTTTGGGGCTGAGTTTTGAGACGTTCCACAAGATTGTGAAATGTGGAAGATCTCTGTTTTGACTCGGAGAATGGCATTATTTTACGTTTTGTGTGGCCAGATGATGAAGAGGAAGGGTTGTTATGTCTGGTGGGTGGCGGAGGAGGAGGTCCTTTTTTATGGGACAAAGGTGGTAGTTTTTTTGGCGTCAAACCTGGCCTGCCATATTGGGTGATAAAACTGGAAGTTTGTAAGTGGTCGGTGGGAGGTACCAAACTAGCCATTTGCTTATCTTTGTGCTCTTCGTCTTCCTCTTCTTCATCCAGGCCACTGTAGCCCTCAAAAATTTCATCAAATGCCTGATTAACAATTTGAGAATTTTCACAATAACTCTCCGAGTCTAGGGTGTTGGAAACTGCCAGCGAATCTTCCAACGAAGCGATTTTTCTTTGACTCAGAGTACCAAAGAGATTCTTACGATAATCGTCGTCAATGTTTCGATAGTAAACTTCCGAGTTAGACGAGGCCTTAAACTGTTGGCTTAACTCGTGACGCGGCGTTAGGTTGGGTTTCGATTGTTTGACGCTTGCATTTTGTTGTAAAATATGTTGTACAATTTTTTGTCTAGTCTCTTGGGTTTTCTTTTTAAGTTGTTGCAATTTTGAAGTGTTACCATGGGTGTTATTCTTTGAGGTGCTTTTCGAGGTGCCACATGGTATGAATTGTCTTTTGGATGTCGCCGGTGATGTGACTGACTGTTGACCACTAATCTGTGCGGCATTAGATGTTGCTGCAATTGCAGCAGCTGCAGCCTGCATTGCAAGCAATTCCATTAAATACTTACTGTGCTCCCGTTCGCGTTGAATCCTTTGCCTTTCGGCCAATTGACGCTGCATTGCCATTGTTTCGAAAGTGTGTACCACACTACCGACATGGCTGTTGACATCCGGTATACCTAAATCACCGCTGAACAAATCGCGCTGATGCCGGTGTTGTGGCGTCAAAAGTTCTCCGCCGCTGGCTCGTTTATTGAGAGTTGGTATAACGGTTTCCGGTTTACGATACAGTGTTCCTGCCGAAGCACTTTGCCTTAGCAGCAAGGCAGCCGCCTTGGGACGTCGACGTTGAGGATATTGTTCAACGAATTCGGCGGCTTCTTGTTGCCACATAACATTACCCATTTCATCAAAAGAGCGATTAACAATTGTCGTTTTGGTCGTTGCTGCCATGGGTTTTGTAAACTGTATTGAGGGGAAAGTCGGTTTCGTTTTTGATGTGATCGTGTGGTATTGTTGTGGTTGTTGTTTTTGGCATTTCAAGTGTATTTTTGTTATGTGTGTTTATCCAATCGGGTGTTTTGAAATAATGAAGCGTTAACGTACGATTCGAAACCAAAGCGTAACATAAAAAGAAATAGAAATGAGAAAAGGTTTCAATAAATGAAAAATTATTTAAAATTTAAAGAAAATCTTTTTTATGAACCCAAAAAAATGTTAAATGAAATATTTTTTGTAATTAATTTTCTTACAGATTAATCTTAAGACTAGGGGTTTAAGTCGAAAGTACATAAAAGGCTTTTTTGACAGGCTTAAGTCATCGGCTGGTTTTTTCGTAGATGAAAAAAGGAGCTTTAGGTTGACTTAGTTCGATTTCGTCGCTAGGCTCCTTTGTTCTTTTTCGAAGAAGCCAGCCGATGACTTAAGCCAGTCAGAAAAGCGTTTTATGTACTCTCACCTTTACTTGTGATTCGGACGCAACACTCAAATGTCAATAGTGTTAGAGCCAATTGTGTATCTATACTACAAGTGTCCAGCAGCATACACCTCTCAACATTTTGAAGCACTATCTCAGTATTTTTTCCGAAAATTTTAAAGGTGTGGCTACATAAGCAGCTTGGCGTCATGGTATGTCAAATTGTAAGGAAAAACGACGGCAGTATTCGAGTGCGCCTCTGGCATCTCTTTATGATATGGCACTTAATATGCCATGCAAAGACTTCAAACTTATGTACCCACACCTTAAATTTACAGGGAACATCATATGGCTATTTTGATAAATGATAAATCGTTGTCAGAGCCACTCTTGACGTTTTTCCGTCGTTTTCCGTAGTAATTTTACATCAATAAGCAATGCTATGATGCCAAGCTGCTTTTGTGTCTCCATCTTACTAAGCATCAAAAAAATTATGAAGAAAAAGTAAGTCTGTCTGGTTAACCTAAAACAATAACAATTTTTGCAAACTGAGATATGGAGATTCGGGAGAGAGAAAATTTGACAGTTCTATTACTGAGAGTTTGCAAATTCTTGCCGGACAGATTCTTTTGAGCTCCCGGTGATCTGTCCGGCAAATTGGAAATCATTTTAATTTGAAATTCGCAAGCCGGCTCGAAGGACCAATTGTAGATGAGAAGAGAAACACTACCGCTTCGTTAGGGTATAATTTAAATTCTCGATCCGGTTCGAAGAACCAATGTAAACGAGAATAGAGTCCAATCTCCCTCTTCGATTGTTAATTCTATTCTGGATCCTGCTGGGAAACTGACAATTTTGAAATATATATTTTTAATGGTTTTTCACAGCGTCTAAACCGCACTCAAAACTATGTATAAAATATTTTGTACAGAATACATAAAAAGCTTTTCTGACTGGCTTATGTCATCGACTGTCTTCTTCGTAGAGGAACAAAGGAGTTTTAGGTTCACTTAGTTCGATTTTTGCCCTAAGCTCCTTTGTTCTTTTTGGATGAAGCCAGTCAAATAAGCGTTTTATGTATTCTCACTTTTAGTTCTAGTTTTTTGATTAACAAAGTTTCAAAATCGGAATTCTTTGGCTCAATTTATTTTTTACGTTTAACAAAATACAATTTTGATTCTTTTTGTGGCGGACAAATATTTTGGCTGTCAGCTGGTTGCTTGTAAATTTCAGCAGAGATTTCGTCCGTTTACTTTTCACAATTTTATGCTACAAAAGAGAACAAAACTATCTTACCCTCTCAGAAGGAAGTTGCTTGGTAATTTCTGCAGGAAAAGTAACAAGACATCCCAAGTGTTGTATAGTTCAGTAACGAACTAGTTCGATTAAACGATCTGAATTAGGTAGGTGAACTAGTTCACTGAACTGAAAACGGTGATCGAGCGATCAAGTATATAGCTTTGCAATTTATTCAATTTTATGGTTACGCCCGTGGAACAATCACAAAAGTAATCTCATGCAATCAGACGTTTACAATTTATTTAAATTGTTAAATTAAAATTTTATAGTTCTTCCTTAAATATGGACGTACAGCTGGCAAGAAATTTAGATTCATTTCCCACCAAATATTTTGTCATATTCACGCATTTTAGAGGGTATAAAAGTCAAGTAAGAATATAATCTAAAATAGAAGACTAAACTATTTGCCTCAAATGGCTTCTTCGTATGACTTAAGCCAGTTAAAAAAGGGTTTTATGTATTCTTACATTAATTTGAATGTTTGATGGAGTTAGTGAACAATGAACTAGTTCCTGGTTCCATCAAATGAGTTGTACTAATTTGACCGCTCTGTAAAATGAACTAGATTTTATAAAATAAGTCAGCCAATGAGTGAGACTGGACAACCAAATCATTATTTGTATTCCAAGACAAATTTATAACATATATTTTCAATATTGAGATTTGAATGCTGCACTCCAGAGAAAACAATATATTTTTAGATATTCATATAATATACCATGCTTTTAAATGTAGTTTTAATGCTTATATTCTAGCTATACAAATATATAGATTGTTGATAAATTTAGATAATCTTAAATTTGTTCTAATTTTTAAATATTAATAGATATAACATATACTTCTTATTGCTATTGTTTTATTCTTAAGAATTGTTTATACATATTATTGTTTTGTATTAAGTTTTTTTTTTTTTAAAAAGCGTTCCATCTCAATATGGTGGAAGGTCACGATCCAAGTTTTTGTTCTATGAAAGTATAGGAAATCAATAAAAAGTAAATTTGATTTTACCATAGTAGAATTAAAGAGGTAAAGTCATGCAATCATATGTTTACAATTTTTTCAAAAATTATACATTTGACAATATCTCATTGTCAAAATTTGTATTTATAAATCCAATGTACATACACAAATCAGAGATGGGAACCTGTTTTTATGTAGTTAAATGTGAAAAGATAAATTACAGAAAATGCAGAGATATGTATGCTTATTCGAAATGGCTTTACCTTCTTAATTTTACCATGGATTTTACATGTTCTCAGAATAATAGTGAGATTATATTAAAAAAGGTTTAAGACTTGACTGCTTTTCGTAAAAGAACAGGAAATAAGTTTGGGGTAAATCGGCATAAATTATAATCCAAAATTGAACTAAGACAACCCAAAACTATTTTGTTCTTTTACGAAAAAGCTAGTCATTGACTTAAGCCGGAAAACAATTTTTAGGTATCTGCACTTTAAGAAATAGGTCCATGGACAAAGTCGGCCTCTAATATACAATGATTTCAACCCGAATACTATGAAACATTCTGTATGATAAGTGCTCAATCTTTCCTCCATAGCAGCTTTATCTATTTTTACAATTATGACATAACAATTCAATCAGCTGATTCCTTACATCAGCTGATTCTTCATCACCGCTTTGTTTTAATGTATTATGAAAAACTGACATTCATTGTGGAAATTCCTTAAACTTGATTGGTTCAAGTATTTGTTATACCCTCCACCATGGGTAGGAGGGTATATTAACTTTGTCATTCCGTTTGTAACACCTCTAAATATTCGTCGTAGACCCCATAAAGTATATATATTCATAATCAGCATAAAATTCTAAGACGATTTAGCGATGTCCGTCTGTCTGTCTGTCTGTCTGTCCGTCTGTCTGTCTGTCCGTCTGTCTGTCTGTCTGTTGAAATCACGATAGAGCCCACATTATTTGACGTAGACCTTTGAAATTTGGCACAAGTGTGTGTATTGTCCCTAGGATGGTTGGTATTGAAAATGAGATATATCGGTCCACGTTCTGGTATAGTCCCCATATAACGGTACCTCCCGATATTCGGTATTTTGATGATTTATGCCACATTTTTTCACGGATTTATCTGAAAATTGGTATTTGTAGGTCATGACGGGTCCCTGAGCGTGTGGCAAAACATTGCATGTATAGGTCCACGTTTTGGTATAGCCCCCATATAACGGTACCTACCGATATTCGGTATTTTGATGATTTATGCCACATTTTTTCACGGATTTGTCTGAAAATTGGTATTTTTAGGTCACAACGGGTCCCTGAGCGTGTGGCAAAACATTGCATGTATAGGTCCACGTTCTGGTATAGTCCCCATATAACGGTACCTCCCGATATTCGGTATTTTGATGATTTATGCCACATTTTTTCACTGATTTGTGTAAAAGTTGGTATTTGTGGGTCATAATGGGTCCTAGTTCGTGTGGCGAAACATTGTAATTATAGGTGCACGTGTTGGTGTAGCCCCTATATAACGGTACCTCCCGATATTCGGCATTTTAATGTTTTTTGCCACATTTCTTCTAATGTTCTTTTACCCTAGGGTGGAGGGTATTAAAAGTTTGGCCCGGCCGAACTTAATGTTTTTTTACTTGTTTTTATTTAATATGAATATATTTTCATTCACAGAAATTAAATATAACCTTAACCAATCGCTGGATTACGGTACGGCAAAAAAAGAAAACATCATTTGCTGACCTGTATATGTCAAAGTCCACAAACGATGGTAAATAATTTGTTAATGGCATGGCGGCCATTGATCGTTGTTGTTCTACGATTCGAGTTCAATTTCAAGAGTACATGAATAGGTTAAACAGGCGCAAATAGTCTATCCTATAATATTACCCCACTCATACGCACACACCTTCACATACGTGCGTATGTCAATAAATGTTAATTAGCATTAACAGTTAATTACGTGACAAACTTTTAATTAAATTAAACGTACTTTAAAATTCAATTAGTTGTGTTGCGTGTTGTTGGCCAGCCCATTGCTTGTTTTCTGACACCATTAGCTCGCCTCTGCTATATATATATATATATGCAAACGGGTATATAGTTGTTTATGTAAATAGGTATATATTATATGGTAATTTCAATGCGATGATATCTTTACATATATTGGACATTATAATAATGGAAGAAAAATTAATTAAAACAGAAGGTAGAGGAATGAGCAATGACAGATGAGGACGTCCGGATCTTAGATTACTGAGAGACTCTTTCT